AATTTGTTAAGTTTCCTTTATCTGTAAACAAAAACAGCAATTCCTCATTCCACTTTGATGCTGACGTAAAAGAAAACACCATCTTAGACTGTCCACTTCCTGTTATTCTAAATTGGGAGACAAAAGGAAGTCACTCTTCCTAAAGGTATAAACAAACAAGGGTCCCAGAGTTCAACTCCTTCAAGCTGGTCCCTGGCATATGTGGGTCCTAAGACAGGATCATTCTGAAAATGGGTCGTGGAAGATTACACACATTTTGCATGTGTACACAAGTGCTTGGTAGAATATATATAATATAAACTTTATCATTTTTTGTCATTTTTAAGTGTACAGTACAGTGGCATTAAGTACAGTCATATTGTTGTGTAACCAAAAGTATGTATCTTATCCTGGATCCCCAAGGATTCTGCAACTGTTCATGCTATATTCTCACTTGTAAAAGAACATATCTTGTTCCATACTCTACCTTTCCATTTTCTAGGGCTTATTCCTACTGAGACACTCTTGTTTTCCATATCCTATCATACCCGTGGTACAAAACTAAACTGAATTATCCCGAAGACCAGATTCAGGCTTGGGGCCTATACATCCAGCTTTACATGTCAGCTACTGCATTTGCCTATTATTCTAGTTGAATGAAGGCTTACATTTCCTTCTTTTTAAAAGGATTTTGAAGCCACACTATTTCTTTACACGTTAGAAAATGCTCAACTAGAGATCAATTCTTCATTTATATTACTATCATGACTATCTATAGTTTTACCATGAGCCACATAAAATTAAAGGCTTTGTTCAAATAACTAAAACTCAATTTTTACAAGAGACATACAGCATACAGTTGGCCCTCTGTATCAATGGGTTCCACATCTGTAGACTCAACAAACTATAGATCAAAAATATTTTGAATATGTACAGACTTTTTCCCTTGGCATTATTTTCTAAACAGTATAACATTTACATTGTATTAGGTATTTTAAATAAGCTAGAGATGATTTAAAGTATACAGGAGGATGTACTTAGGTTGTATGCAAATACTATACCATTTAATTACATGTCCATGGGTTTTGGTATCCACAGCAGGCCCTGGAAATAATCCCCCACAGATACCGAGAGTCGACTGTACATCAATAGATATGAATAGCTTTTACTGTCATCAACAGAAATAAAATATAAGTTTTCGTGTTCATCAATAGATATGAAATATAATAGCTTTTGCCCTCATCAATTTGCTACATATGGCTTATCCTAGCAACAAGCAATTTTCCACTGTCCCTGCTGCTTATTAATTTTTCAAAATGTTAGAGTATTTGAGTGAACCTGGGACACTCAGGCACGACCACAAAGCAATCAATGTGACAAAATTGCACTTGAACATGATGACTAGCTCTTATTTTTTTCTTTAGGCTTACACATATAAGAACACCAGTTAGCCCAAAGGAAACTTTTAATTTCCCTATAAATTTGTCAGCTGGATTCTTAACAAAGAGATATATTGTTTGTAAATGAGAAAACACAGGTGTCTCACATTTCATTCTCATCTCCTATGGCTAAACTGCTTAAAAAAAAAATAGGGTCTTTTTTGCCCACATACTCTGTACCATGGCTAGAGTACTTACAGAATACTGGCTGAATACTATCATCAAGAAACAGATGGTTCTCAACTTACAGTTGGACTTAATGATTATTTTACTATGATGGTGGAAGCAGTAGAAATCATGCTTTGAGTGTCCATACAACCATTCTTTTTTTCCCTTTCCGCACAGTAGTCAACAAGTTACATGTTCAATACTTTATTATAAAATAGGCTTTGTGTTAGATGATTTTTGCCCAGTTATAGGTTAATGTACATATCTGAGTACATTTAAGAGAGGCTAGGCTAAGCTCTCCTATTTGGTAGATGTATGAAATGCATGTTGGATTTAATGATATTTTCAACTGACAATAGCTTTATTGGGATGTAACCCCATCATAAATCAAAGAGCATCTGTACTGATTCATTCACCTCATGAGTTTAATGTGGGAGAAATACACCTGGATGATCCAAAGAAAACAGATTGCAGGATAATGACTGCACAGACAGAACCACCACCAAATGAGAGGCCCCCAAGAGCACTGGAATGGCAAGCTCTACTAAGCAAACGCACTGATCATTTTTCAAACTGTAGTTACATTTAAACCAATTTGCACTGCAGTTCACTTCACAGGAATTACTTCATAGCTTCAGGAATCCCCTGTGAAATCCTACATACCAGCACTACAAATGGAAAATCCTTATCTTTAAGCAGACTTAATAGTGAACCAATCACTGAACCATCATGTCTTCATATACCCCTGCATCAGACTGGTTTTGCTTACCTCAGACTGCCAGTTATTCTACTAAAATCCAACACAAGTTCCATTCGGGACAACACGTTCAGTGTTACATAAGGAAGACACAGAAGAGGGGACCAAATCAGTAAGGTGCCTGTTCACGTGACAGAATTATTTAAAATAAGCACTAGCGGTCAAACATTGTTAAACTAAATGGCATGGCTCAGTTAAACTGATGACTAAACCAGCCAGTTGGATGGGAGAAATTCTGAGGCATTCCTGGCAGTATCGAGTTCCTACGAGGCTCTTTCTTAAGCCCAGTGTTTTCTATCTATTCTTCTATTAGAATTTATAATGTTCCCAAGAGCCAAGTGAGGGCAAAGATCATCTTGCCAAATTTTAGTTGGAATACTACATCAAGTCAAGGTCACACCTAGGGCAGCAAGCTATAAATAAATTTATAAATTCTATAAATCAAGTACAGTGACTGCCTTGTGCATAAATAAGCCTTATTACTTAATTATCAATAAACCTTGAAAATTCTGTAACTGTTAGTGAAGTTTTTAATCGTCCTCATCATGATATAGTCACTCCTAGGCATTAAGATAATACTAATTTAAGACAGTGCTCCCAACCATCACAACTAATCAATCATAATGTCCTATTCCAGAGTACCTGAACTCAGTCAAATCCATCATCAATATCAGTTAGCTATTATGGGGTGCCCACTGCACTGAGTGCAGAACTATATGAATAGCATTTAATTCTAACAGCAATTCTTTGACTTAAGTTTCATTATTAACCTCATTTTACAGATATGGAAACTGAAGCTCAGAGACATGAACTTGCCAAAGTCACTCAGTATGTCAGGAGCTTGGACTTGAATCCAGAGTTTGACTCCAGAGGCCTAGTCTTTTTCTTTTCTTTTTCTTTTTCATTTTTGAATCAGAGTCTCACTCTTTCCCCCAGACTGGAGTACAGTGGCATGCTCATGGCTACCACAGCTTCGACCTGCTGGGCAAATCTTCCATCTCAGTCTCCCAAGTAGCTGGGACTACAGGTACAGGCCACATTTGCATTTTTTTTAACTTATTGTACAGATGGGGTCTCATCAAATTGCACAGGCTGGTCTCAAACCCCTGGGCTCAGACAATCCTCTCGTCTCTGCCTCCCAAAGTGCTGGAATTCCGGATGTGAGCCAACATGCCCAGTCCATGAGGCCTATTTTTAACTACAGTTGAACCTTGAACAACATGGGTGTTAGGGTCACCAAGCCCCTGTACAGTCAAAAATCTGCATGTAACTTTTTACTCTCCTAAAACTTAATTACTCACAGCCTGCTACTGACCAGAAGCTTAATTACTAATAGTCTGCTACTGATAATGATAACATAGCCAATTAACATATATTTTGTATGTTATATGCATTATATAGTATATTCTTACAATTAAGTAAGCTAGAGAAAAGAAAGTATTAAGAAAATCTTGAGGAAGATAAATTATATTTATTATTCATTAAGTGGAAGTGGATCAGCATAAAACTCATTATCCTCATCTGTTTAGTAGGCCAAGGAGGAAAAGGAGGAGGAGGAAGAGGAAAGAGTTGGTCTTGCTACCTCAGGGGTGATGGAGGTGAAAGAAATTCTATAAGTGAACCCACGTGATTGAAACTCATGCTGTTCAAGGGTAACTTTACTTCCCGGTCCTGCCTTCCAAACCACTGAAGTTGGTGCATGAGCTAAAACCCATGTCATTCCAGAAAGCAGAAAGCATAGAGTTCAGGAAATCAGTAGACTTATGTTTTCATCAACTCATACTTACTAGACTCGTGAATTTGAGTTTTAATTCATTCATTTGGAAAAAGTTACTCTAAAATCTCTCTATCCACTGATACACTTGTAGAACAGGAAACACAATTTAGTACACCATAGAGTGCTACTCCAATGAAAATATTATGAGATTGCTGTGATCTAGTCTAGTGATCTCAGTATCTGTAGGTATCACAAATTAGGATCACACTACTATGTTCATGACTATAATCGAATAGAAATGGAATTAGAGACCAAAGACGTTTTCACGGAGAGGCAGTTCACCTGTAGGCCTTTCTCAATTTTGATTTCTTATCTTAAAGGGACATTTATAAGACAGAGGTGCACAAAGAAATGAGATGTATGCATTCTACAAATGATTCTACCACACCCTCTGGCTGAGGATTCACCTTAGTACTGTGGTCCAGGTAACATAAAACTTAGGAGTTAATGTATTCAAATTGAAATCCTTTCTCAGTTATTTACTAACCATTAGGTCTAGGGCAGCAAGCTATTCACATTCTATAAACCAAGTACAGTGATTGCCTTGCACATAAATAAGTCTTATTACTTAATTATCAATAAACCTTGATAATTCTGTACGTCATTACTACAGAATCCCAGTCTGAATTGAACTTCCTGAATGCAGTGAAGAGCAGTCTACCCCAGTTTGTTCCGTAACTGTAACCGTGAGCCCAAATCGGCTTCTTTGAACCTATCTCCAGTTATTCTATGCTTGACTTGCAAAGCAAAACCAAAGAAGTGCACTTCCTGGCGGACATAAGAAACTTATTAATCCATTCCTAATTGCATTATAAGAGCCTAAAAAGAATCCATCTTTTCCCAATGCTTAAACTACTAAAAAACAGATGGTACAAAAAGGTTTGCATTTCAATAGAACTAGCTTTATTTATGTATCTGTATTTATTTATTTATTTATTTATTTATTTATTTATTTATTATTTACTCACTTATTAATTAAACAAAAGAAATGATCTAAAAGCAAATGCAGATATGTACCAAGGGATGGACATGACCTGGTACTCACAGAAGAGCTGCTGTGTCATAATGGAAACAGCATAATAGGAGAAAAATAGTATTTCAGACGCTGTCTGCCCGAGTCATCTGGAGATGCAAGTTAAATGAAAGAAGGTGCTGTGTCAAGCAATCAGTGAGAAACAAAACCAAAACCACCAGAGGTTGTTGCCTCCAGAGAGCTACGGAGTGGAGCATGGGAGCTGGCATCAACTCACGGTCTTCTCATTTTCCCCATTTTCTATAATTTTCCTCTTCTTCTCATCTGTTTTTTTCTTGAAGATTTTATCTCGGTAAAACTGAAGTTCTTTGATGCTTTCACTAATGTCATCAAGTGCCCTACAAGCAAACATATCACACTGAATGAAATGTCCAAAAACAGGAGAGGGAAATCATTTTAACTTTCTATAAATGACCTAAGAACAACAGGTACTACTGTAAATGCCACTAACTATCGGGCATCATCCAAAAGGAGAAAATTTCCATAAAGTAATTTTCTTTAAAGTGTGTAAAAAACATGGGCAATCCCTTTGGGTCCCCTCCCACTGTGGGAGATTTCTGTCTTCTCAATAAATCCTGCTTTCAAAAAAGAAAAAAACCTTATGAAACAATTATAAAATGTAAAAAAGTTTCCTAAATTGTTCTATAAGATGGTGATGTGTTCCACAGAGGGAAAAAAAAAAAAATTCCAGGTTCAAGTAGGTTCTGGAAAAACACGATTCAACTTTTTTTTCTGAAGTTCTTTGCAAAGTACTTAATGTACTAATTCATATTATGAATTTCCAAAAGGAGGTGGTGCTCTATATAAGCATTTCTACAACTTAATTGACCACATTTGTAGAATATGTATTAACAGCTCATGGAACTCAGTTTAAGGAACACTTCCCAATACTTAACAACACCCCTGAACGAAATATACAGACTTACTTGAATGTAACTCATGACTCAGTCATCATAATAGACACCAATTATCAAACAGTGCCTAACCATTCAGAGGCCTCCTCTCTTGGGTGATCTGTGCTATAATCAGTGGCAGCCCACCTCTGTCTAAGAGCCTCTCCTCTCCTCCTACATGCCATTTCTTATCTGTTGTATTCTGAGAAATCAGGTACCCAAGATTATCAGAATAGTGTGTAAGTAAATCAATAAGCTCTGAATGACACGCCAAGGGCCTCTTCTAGAGAACACCCCGCACACACTTTTAGGCAAGAGTTTTAGAAATTATTTCTGTGGCTGCTATCACAACTGCAGCCTGATTAGATAAACGTAAACGATTTCTTATCCACCCGATAGTCACCAGTGATGCCATTTGGTATGAATAGCCATGCATTTCAGTGTAGAAACACCAATGTGTTTTCTTATCGACTGCCTCCTCAAACCTTGTTAGTAATAACAACAGTACATAATAATAAACAATACGGATGGTACTATTTTCTTTCTAAAATCTGAAAAATTCTGGAATCCTCAACATACCAAACTTCAAGTGTTTCAAATAAGGTATTCTAAACCTGTAATACTGTGCTAGAGACCATATACACCAATTTTTTAAAAAAAGGTGAGAATCCCAGACTCCTTAAGGATTAGTCTTTCTTTGTTTGCCTAGAACTGTGTATGGCACATAGTAGAGGCTCAGTAAATGGATGAACCAAATGCCACCCTTCAAAGACTACCCTTACCAGCTGCTAAATCTCACATCAAGTTTTGTTTCTTCTGAAAGACTACAAAATCAAAAGAAAATGAAAAGAACCAGTACAAGACCCTTGATATACTTTAAAATCCTTGTGTACTTGTGCCTAAGGCTATAGACAAAAGAAACAATCTAAAAACTAAAAAAGTATCAAAGTAGGACAACTGTATCATACAACTTTACACAAAGTATTCTAATTTCAAATGGTTGCAGGTCCATTCCATATTCTCTATGGAAGAAAGTTAATACTGCTCATTATTAGAAAGATTACCGATTGTTTCATCATATCTATAAACCAAGATGTCTAAGAGTTTTAAAACTGCAGTAAAGACTGTATGACCCTTCTCGGAATGGAATATTGGAATCCTGACCAGAATTCTTGATAGCAAAAAAGTGTTATCTTTATGCAATCAACCTTCATCTTTTCCTAAAGGAAAAAGAGTGGAGAAGGGACATGACTTCATGCAGTCAGGAATATGGGGGCAAGTGCTTAGTAGGACTCAAACTCACCTGTGAGAAGCAGCCTTCTTTGGTGCAAATTCATACTCTTCTGGATACCAGCGTCTATACACGGCAAAAATGGAACTCTCAAAGGAAGCTGTCTCAAATATACTGAATAATAACCTCCTTCAAGTAATCCATTAACACTGAAAAAGGCGTTTGAGCCATGACGCTCAAGGTAAGACACCTCTTTGCCGAGGACTCCATCTTCCACCCTCTCCTCTCTTTCTTCTGGACATTCTCTTGGAGCAAGCTCATCAAAGGAGAAGACTCCTGAATCCGCAACTCCAACCCAGCCCTCTCTAGAGTTTCCACCATAGATACCCAGCCATCCACTGGACTCCTCCACCTAAAAATCTCCCTGGCACTTTGAATTCAACATATATAAAACCACACCCTTTATTCTCAACGCCTCCCCTCCCCCATCCGCCAAATCTATGCTTCCTCTTATTTTCCCCTTCCACTGAACAGCTCCATCATTCCCCCACGCTGCCCACACTAGAAACACCAGTGTCACATTGTACCACCTCATCCTCGTTGCCTCACTGGAGCATTCAGCATCTGCCCACTGGCCCTCTTGCTCCTTTATCTCCAGGGCCCCCCCACCGTCACCCTCTGCCATTTCTCCAGCTCATTCTTGTCTCCAAGAGGATGCAAGAGGCTCCTTTCTCTCTCCCTGTCACTCTTCTCGTCCTTTTCTTGTCAGAGTGATGGAACTGTCTCACTCACTTACTTCCACTTTCTCAAAGGAAGCCCATCCCTTACACGACACCACTGAACGCCGTCAGCACGGAACGCAAGCCCTTCCTGCCCCAGCCTCGCTTCCCACCTCCGCCAACCTCGTGCTCTGCGCTCCAGCATTAACGAATGGTTCGTGACTCCTGGAACAAGTTTTGCCTTAGCTTCTTGCTTCCTCACATTCTCATGCCTCTGCCAGCTCTCTGGAATGCTCTCTCCTCAATTAAATCCTGAAAAAGTCTGCTCTTCTACAAAGCCCCAATCAAAAGCTATTTCCTAATTAACGTTTTCCCTGACTTCCCATTCCTCTGTTCCAGCACAGTTAGATGCTGCTTCCCTGGGGCCCTCAAGAGTCTATGTGGACATTTCCACTGCAGGAATTATCGTAGAGAATATTTCTAGGGTGTTTTTCACACATAGATCAACCCACTAGATTCCATATGCTCCCAGAAGACAGGCCAATGCCTGGCACAGAATGAGTGTGCAAAAAATCTTCTGATTAATGAGTTACAGGGAAGATCACTGGCACTGTTTCTCCCAACTCTCACCAGTCCAGGATAAATGAAGGTCCTGTACAAGCAAGAATGGGATGAGGAAGATACAAGCTCACCTGGCCCCCTGAGTTCTACAGCTCTATTCAATTACTTTCCACAAATTCTCAATTAAAACATGCTAAATGAGGCAATTTAATGGAACCTAAATATAACCCTTACCTGCACAGTTCTTTAACAGTGCTCACATCAATTATTCTATAATGAAGATGTTTCATGAACTGGGGCATGTATTTGTCAAGAAACTTCTTATCTGCATGAACTGAATTTCCTAGAAAGACACGAAGCATACTGCATCTCTGTATTTCTAGTAGTATACAATAGGATAGCAAAATGTATAAATTGTATTTTAAATGGAGATGATTTTGTTTAACTCAAACAATTTCCAAAAGTGCCTCTACATTTCTATATCAGGTTTAAATATATTTGATTAGCTTACAAGTACAGATTTGTAAGTATTTAGTCAGTCTAGCTCACAATAAATTTGCTAATGCCCTCATGGACAAAAGGAATAAAATTATCATTCCACATACTTAAAATAATGCACAAAATCTGTTACTTTTTAGGATCATACCAGATGTGCAAACTTTCTCCCAGTGTCACAAAATTCACACAACTAACACTAAAAATTTAACTAAATCACATAAGTAGGTAAACCTTTATTTACATTCCAAATTTTTTAACAAATCATATCCATATTCATGTTTCCATACAGCAATTTATATTAAAAACACTAAATTTTAAATGAGAACTTTAAAACAGACACCAGCCACATTAGCTGGGTAAAACATTTATACAATATATGCTCTAGTACTTAATGCCAAACTTTTTAAATAAATGTTTAAGGAAAGCATGAGTTACTACATCAATTTACAAACACAAATGCAAATACACCTTCAGAGAACATTAACTTCCCTCTGACAATGTGAGTCCTTTAAAAATCCTGGCAGAACTGGTCTGGGCTCTCTAAAAAACTAATGTCACAGGGGGGAAAAGGAGGTAGAGAGTTTTAGATTGAAACTAAAGTAGCATAATAGCCAAATGAAAGGCATGAGACTGGTTCAAAAACTATTAGACCTTTGAATATGGTCTAGAGATCACATGATAGTCAACGATTTGTCATTATTTTTAATGCAATAATGACATTGTATTACATAAGAAAATGTCTTTATTCTTAGGAGATACTTGAAGTATTTAGTAATGGAGTGTCATGACGCCTGCAGTTTATTTTTGAATGTCCAACAAAAAAATAGGTAAAACAAATAGGACACAAAGTTAAGAATTACTAAATCAAACTTTTCTGTGCATGTGAAATTTTCTCATAATAAAAATGTGGGGACAAATTTCATTGAGTTAGTCTATGTTTCCCAGAGTTCCTGTCAGGTTCCAGGGCATTTTTCCCAATATTCACGTTATAAACGATACAAAGATACTTGAACACAAAAGTAACATGTATAACCCAAAGCAGGGTAAGTGGAAGACACAGATGGTCTTGGTTGGCCTTTCAGGAACTGCAGTTTCTTGAGCCACTACAATGGAAGAGTATCTACAAGGTATACATAGGATTTCATTTTACCTGCAAGTGGACAGAGCCCCGGAGGAGTCTGCTGTCGTACAAAGGACAGAAATTCATACTCTGCCTGCTGCAATGTAATTGTACTCTCCTTCACTGCCTTGGTAAGACCAGACTGCAAGAGAGAATCCCCAGCCCCCCACCAGAAACACATGAAGTCAGTTTTCAAAGGCATCCAGAAATGAAACTTCACTTCTAACATGGGCAAATATAACCACAGATGGACCATTTTTAGAGCCCAAGTTCAAATTGAAACTGCCATCTTTGTACCGATTTCTTTTCTTAAAGAATCCAGGCCAAATAAGTTACGTTCCTGATTGTTAATAGCACTTCCACACAGTCAAAAAAGACGGTGCTCAAAGTCCAAGGACATAACCTCTGGGAAGAAACAACTATCAACAGAAGAGCAGCATTCCCCCTTCTCTGAAAGTTGATGTCTAACCTTATCCAAAAGACTGACTTGAGTAATACTTGACAATCCACAATGCGTTCGCGACAGACTGAATGTAGGAGAGAAAAAAAGAGGACATTCAGGAGAAGATGATCTCGAGAGGTCCCACAGATGAAAAGTAAACAAGCAAGGAGTGTCCCAGGCTTGCCAAGCAATCTTCCTCTAACCTTTTTAAAAATACCATCCAACAATAGCATAGGATTCGGATGTGGGAGCAACAAGCTTGTTACTGATCCCCAAAGCAGCAATCCTGTTACGTATTTGGCAATGTTACCTTCCCATGATGTTCCTTACACCAATCTGACATGCTGTCCAGCAACTCGTCTGGTTGTTTTATAATCAAGTTAGGACCCTGTGGACGGGAAAGGTTATCAGTTACCAAGCATCAGCAGAAAGACCCTTGCTTTCAGAGGTAAAGTTTAAGCTGCTGTAAAGACTAAATATGGTATACATATCAGAGAATGTTAAGAGATAGGGATACTGTGCTAACTCTAAAAGTGGTCCTTCATTCTAGCACTGTTTATGATGGCAAAATACAACACACACCTGAAAATCAAAATGCTTATTTTTTATTTTATTTTTTGAGTTGGAGTCTCACTCTGTCACTCAGGCTGGAGTGCAGTGGCACACTCACAGTCACTGACTGCAGCCTCAACCTGCTGCACTCAGGCAATCCTTCTGCCTCAGTCTTCCAAGTAGCTGGAACTATGGCACACGCCACTACACTGGCTAATTTTTTTTATTTATTGTAGAGATGAGGTCTCACCAAGTTGCCCAGGCTGGTCTCGAACCCATGGGCTCAGGCAATCCTCTCACCTCGGCCTCCCAAAGGCTGGGATTATAAGCATAAGCTACTGCTCCTGGCCCAAAATCCTTATTAATAGAGGACCTAGATTATCAAGGGTCAACAAACTATAGCTTTATCTGTTCTTTTATAGCCAGAAAGTTAAGAATGATTCTTACATCTGTATGAGATTCTTAAAACAAACACACACACACACACACACACACACACAGAGAGAATAATATATGACAAGAGGTATATTGCACTCACAGCCTAAACTATTTAATATCTGGCCCTTTCTGAAAAAAGTCTGCCAACCCGATTATGAATCCATTTGGAAATGTGCCTAGGCCAGGTGTGGTAGCTCATGTCAATAATCCCGGTGCTCTGGGAGGCCAAAGTGGGAGAACTGCTTGAGGCAAGGAATTTGAGTCCAGCCTGGGTAAGATAGAGGGATTTCGTCTCTACAAAATTAAAAATCAAAAAATTAGCCACGTGTGGTGGCATGTGTCTGTAGTCCTAGCTTCTTGGGAGACTAAGGCAGGAGGATCACCTGAGCCCAGGAGTTCAAGGTTACAGTGAGCTATGATCAGGACACTACAACAAAGCAAGACTCTCAACAACAACAAAAAAAGTGCCTATACTGTCAAGTGAAAAAAGTAAACTGCAGAACCATATATATATATATGATTTCCTTTACACTTGTTTTTTAAAATACACACATTTATATACACATACAAAATATGAAGAAAATACAAAAAAATTAGGGAGTAGGATGAGCAGGAGAACAAGGCAAAAAACAGCAGTTACGCTAAGTAGTATAACTTTATCCAAAGTGAGTACTTTGGATAAAGTTATACTACTTAGTTTTAATTGTAATAGGATTTTTATTTTCTAAAACGTAATTGCTGACATCTGGAGAAAAAAAAAGAATTGCCCTCAAATTCTTAGCTCCATTTCACAGAACATTCAATTGTGAGTCTCTTGGGTACAGTCCCAGTAGTGACAGTAGCCTGATCTGTGGCACTAAGACAAGTCACCTTAGTTCCTCTTTTTGTAAGATGGTGATAATAGTAATAAAGTGTCCTCCTCCCAACCTGGTGCAGTGGCTCATGCCACTTTGGGAGGCCACAGCAGGAGGACTGCTTAAGTCCAGGAGTTCGAAACCAACTTAGGCAACATAGTTAGACCTCATCTTTACAAAAAATCGAAAACTTAGACGGGAGTGGAGGTGCCTGCCTGTAGTCCCAGCTACTTAGGGGTCTGAGAAGGAAGATGCACCTGAGCCCAGAACTTTGAGGCTTCAGTAATCTATGATCATGCCACTGCACTCCAGCCTAGACAACAGAGTGAGACTCGACTCAAAATAATAATAATAATAATAATAAGTAATCCATCATCGTGCCACTGTACTCCAGCCTGGACAACAGAGTGAGACTTGACTCAAAATAATAATAATAATAATAATAATAAGCTGAGCTCAGTAGCTCAGCCTGTAATCCCAGCACTTTGGGAGGCTGAGGTGAGTGGACTGCCTGAGTCCATGGGTTTGAGACCTGCCTGGGCAACTTGGCGAGACCTCAGCTCTACAATAAATCAAAAATTAGCCAGGTGTGGTAGCGCGCGCCTGTAGTTCCAGCCTTGGAAGGCTGAGGAAGAAGGATCACCTAAGCCCAGTAGATAGAGGCTGCAGAGGCCGGGAGCGGCCACTGCACTCCAGTCTGGGTGACAAAGTGAGACTCCAACTCAAAAATAATAATAATAATAACAATAATAATAAATCATCCCCTTTCTATCACAGGCTTGTTAACAGGAAAAAATAAATTATAGATATGAAAGTTCTCTGAACTCTCTGGAAGTAAAGTACTCTATAAATCCAAGATACCATTTCTAATAAGGTGGCAGAAATAGTTCACAAGTATTGAAAGAAATGGCTAGAGATTGACTAAAATATGCCAGACATCCTACAATTAGAAAGGATGTTTAGACAAACAAGAAAAACTGGTGCTGGTGATCTCTGCAGAGAAACAAAAAATTTACTCTGTTAACTATTTTTTAAGAACCTCATATGGTTAAAAAAAAAAAAATTCTAACAACAATGGAAAAAAGCAAACTACTATAAATCTAACACTATGTAACTTACTCTAGATCCCAGTCTGGCAAATGAAGGGACCACACCTACAAAACAACATTCAGAGTAGGGTGCTTGTACTTCTACCAGCATGAAGTATTTTCTTCAGACTCTTAGACAAGAATAAAACACACTCACCGCAGAGCAGACAGTCCCTAAGCATTTTTTGTTAACATCTTTATCCTCATTGGACTTAGTCCATTTACAAACACTGCACTCATCTGCAGCTGTGTGAATGCATACCCAAATTCCCTCCAGGGGACATATCAACCTACTGGTCCATTAAATTGTCAGTATTTCACATTATATCAACAGTCTAAAGGAAAAATTCTTCTTTGGCCAAGGGTAAGTAAAGCTGGTAAAATAAAAACACCTCACTATTTTTCTCCAGTAAAAACTGAAAAACACAACCAAAACTAAAACTCAGTGCTCTGTTTATATAAAGTTTAAAAAAAAAAGTTGTCATGATGAGAAATACAAAGTCTCATGATTCTCCTCCAGCTGATATGTCAGGAAGATAAGTCTGGTACTCTACAAATGCAGCAATTAATCTATAAATGCCTTCTCACCTCTTTTACCTACAAAACAAAATAACAAGATGTATGAAATTTACCTAGTAACACATCAATCCTACCCTTTGGGAACTAATTTTAACAAGACTCTCTTTTCCACAATCGTCCCTACTTTGTTCTTATTCTAAAGTTTCTTAATTACTCTGAATACTACTATCAGCATAAAACAGAATTACAGGCCAGGCACGATGGCTCACGCCTGTAATCCCAGCACTTTGAGAAGCCGAACAGGCTTGAGTCCAGGAGTTCGAGACTAGCCTGGGCCACACAGCAAAACACTGTCTCTCTAAAAAAAAAAAAAAAAAAATTAGCCAGGCAAATAAAAAAATTAGTGGTGTGCACCTATAGTCCCAGCTACTTAGAATACTGAGGTAAAAGGATCGCCTGAACCCAGGAGGTTAAGGCTGCCACGAACCATGACTGTCATGATCATGCCATTGTATTCCAGCCTGGGCAACAGAGTGAGACTCCCAACTCAAAAAAAAAAAAAAACAGAATTATGTAAGGTTGAGGATTTCGCTTCCAACCAACCAGGTGGTGTCATATACTTATTAAATATGTTTCAAGAGTGGCAGAAATGCAACAGGTGTGTTTTATTTGTTTGGCTAAATATGTCATTAAAAGCAGCATGTAACAACCTTAATCATGCCCAATCTGTCAACCACAGAACATTTTATGGGTGTGCATCAACAGAAATTCTAAAATCTTAATATAGATCTAGAAGAATCATACATCCTAGTAGGAAAGGCAGGATTGTATATATGGGGGTCAAGTCTTAATGACATAAAGACATCAGCTTTGGCATGAGTCACCAAACCTGATGGGACAATAGCTGGCTGTCCTGCCAGTTAGCAGCACTTAACTGAGACTGCCTGAGCTAAACTACCAGCTCCCTCAATAGCTAGCCAGGTGGCCTTGGGCAAATTACCCAACATCTCTATCCCCAAATCTCTTCATCTATAAAATGAGCGCGATAACAGTACCTGTCTTATAGTTGTTTTGAGGATTAAGAATGAGTACATGTAAAGCACTTAGAACTAAACCTAGCATGCAGTAAGCTTCCAGTAAGTGACAGAGTTTATCTTTTTGTACATTTCTGGCATAGCTAACTGAAAAGTTACCCAGGCTGCAAGATGAATTTCTTTGGTTCTAGTAACAACCCTACCATGACCTAGCACACTACTTTGGACCTTAATCTATACAGACCTCAGTTTTCTTGTTTTTAAATAAAAAGACTGGGGGAAAAGGATCTTTAAATATCCCAACCCCTCTAAACAGTGTGGTATTACATGGCATCACCTACTTCAGCCAAAATGTTGAGATCTGAGTCCGTTATCAGACAGGCCATCTCAATAATCTGGTCCTTCTCAATGTCCAATCCTGTCATCTGCAATGAAAACAGATACATAACACACACAAAACCCATCTTTCCGGCCTATTTTACCCAAGTTTATTTAGAAAGAATTCCCTCGAGTATATTCAGTCTATATCCCACAGCCGAAATAGAAGAGACAATAATTCTCCTTGGGCAACTACTCAAGGTACTGAACACGAATTCTTATTTATTCAACATTAACCAAGGACCTGTTATGTGTCAAGCACTGCGATTCTACTCTGGGACAGATGCCAAGTAAAACTGAGTGCTGACAGCACCCAGTTTTGGAAGAGTTAGGTAACGAACAACACCACATCTCTGTATAGTTTACAAAGTTTTCGTAATAATTATACCACCGCATCTTCATCACAATCTAATGGAGACACTACCGTTTTTAATCCTCATTTCACGTAGGCGAAAACTGAGGCTCAAGGGAGGGGCCAGCCCTTGGTAGAAGGGCGGAAAACCTTGAAGGGATCAGAATTGGGTCCTGGTCCCAACTCAGACCTCACGAACAGCCTGTCCTTGAATGAGCTGAATCCTCTCCCTGGGCCTCAAATTTCCTCATATATGGAATGAGAGGTAAGGCTGAGTCATCTCCATAGTTCCGTCTAACTCTAACAACCTAGGGTCCTTTAAGGCTTCGGAGGAGGGGGGAGAGGAAGCAGGGCCGACCAGTGCCCCCACCCCCACTCCGGTGACCCTAATCCCTGAGGCCCCAGAGTGCCAGGGAAGTCCACCTCTGGGCGGAGGGGGTAGGGAGCCACAGGGATGACTCCTCCCTTCTGAAAAGAACCCCCAGAGCCCCGCACTGTCCCCAGCACCCGCGGGACTCCTGTCACCGGACCCGCCCGGCGCCACCTACCGCCGGGCCGCGCTCACCTGCCACACCTGAGACCCCGACACCCACCGCCCTCGTGGGACAGCTCGGCGACTCGGTCCCACGCGCGAAACCCCACTCGCCTCCCCAAAGCCCCCCCCGCCTTCACTCACCTCCAGGTCCACCCAAACCATCCTCTGAGCCATGCTCTCCCCTGCCTCCATGGCTGCGCCACCTTCGCGGACGCCGCGCGCCCGGAACTGCCCGCGACTCCCACCTACACCCCGCAACAGCCTGGAGCCCAGGGAGCCGCCTAGCATCACCCGGCAGCAGCCGCCACGGCCCCAGCCTCGCAGCCGGCGCTGGCGCAGGCGCGATGGTCGCTAAACGTCGCAAACTCGCGGGGAGGCGCAGGAGCAGAAACTACAACTCCCGGCGTGCCGTGCGCCGGCTCGCCCTGTACAACCCGGCTGGGCCGCCGCAGGGGATGACGGGACTTACAGTCCCACCTGCGGTTGCGACCGGATTCCCCGCCCCCGCCACGTGTTTTTCGGATGTTACTGGACGCGCATGTTTTTCTCGGCTAAGTTTGTTTGCGTCCAGGAGTTGTTTTCTGAGTTTTGATTAGTTGTAAACCGCGCAGTGGGAAAAGAACTCTTCCTTTGGTTGGTTGGAAAAAATCTAAATGATTTTTTTTCTTTACGTATTCTCTTTCCTTCTTTGCTTTTTTTTTTTTTTCTCTCTTTTTTGACTCACTTGCCACACAACGGATATTTTTCTCATTTGCTTGGGACCGAGATGTTTGTTTGTTGTTGTTGTTGTTGTTGGGGGATTTTTTAAGGCCAGAAGGCCACTTGCACTGTCATCTAATCACTGAGAAATCCTTAAATGGGGTCTTGTTTGGGAGATCACCTAGCATGTATTAGGTGTTCAACCGAAGTCAGTTACTTTCCTTCATTTGACAAAGTGTCATCCCTTATTTCTTATGGCACTCAGTCTGCGATTTTGTTAGGTGCCAGTGGTCGTGGCGACTTCCTGCTCCGTGCTTAAAAGTTCTCAAAGTTAACTCACGTCCTTTTATAACATATCTGTGCAGCAAACTACATTAAAATGAACTGAAGCAGCTCTCCCGGCTCTGTCAAAATTGCTCTGGTTTGGATCAAGTATCTTTCATCTCCTCCAGGGAAAGCTGTAGTTTCCGTCATTCCCCGGAGTGAAGATGACCAAACAGCAGCCACCCCCGCCCCGCCCTGGAGTGTCAAATTTCGTGATTCTCTTACGTCTTGGCTATTTCGTGTGAGGAGCACAACTTTGCCACAAATGTTTGTCTTAGCCTTGAATTATATCCTCTATATGCTTTTCTGAAAGCTATATTGTCACTAATTACAGAGCTTGTTCATCATATAGTAATTGTACCTGGTGAGCTGGTTTTGCAAGAGAGAAACTTTGTTGCCTGCTCAGAGCTTTAAGGATAGTGTAGTGTACTCGGTCCCCAACCTACCACCTGCCAGGACCCAGAGAAACTCTCTGAAGGGTCATCAAAACGTATTACAGAGTATATATATAAAGACTTTTATTGTGCACAATGTGTGTATGTTTTATCTGCACTGCCTGATGAGTTACATTGTGTTTGCTATAGCTTTTTATTCATTTGTAGCCTACTTTGTAAGAAATAGTCTTTTTTTTTTTTTTTTTAAGTTTCTTCTTAGTTTTTAAGTTGATTCATGGAAGGTAGAACTGATTGGAGTATAGAAATTTTATCAACAGGATTTTTTTTTTTTTTTT